ATAATAACTAATTATTTATTAACTTTATCGGGCTAAATTTATGCCTAAAACCTTCTCTGTGATGTCCTCTTTAAAAAAAAAAAACTGCGCGACGATTGAATAAGTAGTTTGGGAGTTTATCTCGAACAAAAGAAAGCGACTTCATTTTATATAGTAGTATATATAGTCATATAGATATAGATTTTAGCAACGAATGAAATAAAGAAAAGAAAAATTATGCATAATATGAACAATAAATTTACTATTTATAATTACATACCTAGAAATTCAGTTTTTCAGTTTAATAATTGCATTGTCGATTGCTCCACGACGTTTGTTTGCTCGGAAGTCTTTTGATTTTTCTAGAGTATGAATACTTCTTATTTAACAATACATATCAGTTTGAATTTGCTTCATAATATTGAGCCACATGAAAATGTTTGATTTTTCTGTAAAAATGTTCATTAAAATGCGAATGAAATGACTCACATGCATTGGTAGTTCGTAATAATGAAGATGATTAGTCTGTCCAAATAAGTGGTGGATATGTAGCATTTTCTGAAATGTACGTGTCTGTTAATTAGTCAGCATACTGATTCACTCTATTATCGTTGAGTAAAATGCTCATAGAATCTTCAATAAAACATAAAGCAACTTCTTGTGAAGTTAGAAATGCGAACCCAGACTTATTTCTAATCAAAGAACCAATTTCAGAATTGTTTTCTTTATAATCTTGAACTAAACCAAGGCTTTGAATTTTTCGAAACCATGATTGTGTCAGGTGTAACCTACAGCAAACTATTATAGTGTATTAGGCTATACTATATAGACACAGGATCATGAATAGAAAACATTTGGCACTTAAAAAAAAAAACCATAGGCACACATTTTCGTAAGCCCAACAATGTGTGTAAGTATAAAATGTCTATGCACTAACACAGCCCTGATAGGCAGGTATACTGAAGTACTTTAGAGACTAAAGTTAAACTAGTATGAAACCATAAGCGAGCGCATGATCAAGTTTTAGATCCAAGTTTCAGTCTATTTCAATATAATTACCTTTACGTACCATATTTAGTACTTTTATATAGGTCTTTTACAAAGCCATTAGCCTAATATTTATTTTTAGATTGTGAGTGAAGAAAAGGATTGGGTCTATTGGTTTTACAATAATGTTTATTTTTTTTCCATTTACATTTTTTAGTTCATCAAACTTTGACCAAAAGTTACGTTCAGTCACTCTGTGGATCTATATAATTAGATGCAGCATTTAAAACACACACATCTAATACAGCCGCAGTACAAAGTTATAAGAGTCTTAGTCTTAGGAATATGCATAAATGTGTTACATAATTTATGTATTCATAATTATTGAGTATAAATTGTACAACAAAATATGTACATTCGAAAGTGGTATCTGTCACCGGTTTACGGTTCAAAAAAAGAAAATTATTTCAATATTCTATTATACTATAGTTTTATAATTTAACAAAATATTATTTTGTTTAAACTATTTTGCCGGAGGCCCCACAATTTGTAGAGCCGTCCCTGTATAACTTGAACACCTACCTGTATATGTATATATAGTACGAGAAGGTACACGGGTTGACTTTACGGTAGACAATGCTTTAAACACTTTGACGACATCGTTACTATAATACTTCACGAGATGAGATCAATTTCGATTGTTAAACGGGAAAAATCCAGGAATAACACTAAAATCCAAAATTCGCAAAAATGCAATATTTAGTTTTTGATTTCAGCTCTTTAAATCTTGAAACAAATTTTAAGCTTACTCTACTATTTCTTAACTCTTAAGCGTTTTATAAGATGCCCAACCCCGCTTATGAGTTATAACACCTAATGTAGGTACGCTTATTTATTTAATACATTTTATATATTTAAACATTGTAGGTTCCATAGATAGGTACCCTATAACTCAGATCTCGTCCGACATTAAAATATTGTAATATTTATTTCTCGATGGATATACCTATAGATAGTAGATTGTATTGATTTTTTAAAAGCATGAATAGGTACATGTTATATTATCGTGTGCGAAAAATGACAAAATACATAGTACCTATAGTAAAAAAAAACGAACAGTTATAAACGAACGCCACACCCACGCGGCATGCGATTAGGTCTTGGCATTCGGGTAGGTAGGTTCTAAACACGAGTTGTCAAGCAAATCTGATTCGCTCGCTTAAAAACGTCGTCGTACCAATGTCGAATGAAGGTAGGTGCTCACCTAACATTCACGTCCGTCGAGTGGCGGTCGGATGACCTCGGTTGTTGGTAAATGGCGATGAATTAACATTATTAATAAGTTTTTCACTGCTTCTTCGCGTGGTGGGGGCGTTAGGGTCCACCTCCACCTCCGCGGTTTTGAACGGTTTTGAATTATATCACGTAGTTGTATGCTGTAAGATATAACAGGTATCGGTCACCGCATTGTCGCACGACTCTTATACATTTCGCGCGTATCTAGCGCCACCGTGCAGTAGGGCACCTACCTATAGACCGTGATTAAGAGATTTCGTAAAATCGCGGGGATTCGGCGACATTTTCGAACGAACGGAACGGTGCGTAACGTTCGCCTGCGTCACAGCCGCGCCAATCGGCAACGAGCGGAAAACGACGAAGTAAGGTCGCGCGCGTTTTGTCTTTTTGAATATAATAGGTACCTACTTATTATTTTATAATTATTATTATCAAATCTGTGGTATATTATATGACCAGTAGCCGTACGAGAATAAAAAAATCGAAACAAATACTACGATTTTGTAAATTGGAAAACAAGTAAGAAACAAAAAAAGTCAAATATTTATTTGCTTAAACATAGTTTTTTTTATGGAAAAACTAGCTATAAAAAGAAACTACAATATGCCCAACATGCCTTTACAACAAAAATACGCAAAAACATGCACTATTAATTTTTATATATTTATTACTATTGTTATGAAACAAATTTGTATCTCGGTCATTATGTTTTTCTGTGTTACAAGAGAAATATGAGAATGCGTGAACTTTCGAGCCATGGTTATTATTTTAAATCACTATACGCTATAGTTTTATTCTTTCATATAATTACCTACGACGAAATTTAATAATATTTGATATTACCTATATGTGTAGGTAATTAATTGTATTTTAATAATTAATTTGGCAGGTAACTAGAATTTTGTATAGTTGTGCACTATGCTACCATTAGGTAAACAAATACATAAAATACCTAAATACTTTGTTGGATTTTGTCTTCGATTAAGTATCTACATTATAAGTTCTTATAGCAATTACTTTTAATGCTTATATGTATTCAAAACTTTAAAAACTCTATTAAATAAGTAGCCAGTTGGCAGGTTATTTGTTAGCTTTAAAAAAAGATGTAGTTTTTTTAATTGTATGTGAAAAATGTAACTAATTTTTAACTACCTAAGTTAAGTTACTTTTATTTAGGTAAAAATATTCCAATATTACATGTCTATATAATAAGAGTTGGCAATAAGTATAACGTTAGTGTACTGTATGTTGAATACTTTATACCAGCAAGTCTTAATTAAAAATTGTATAATAATGAACAAGAAAATATAAAAATGTTAGTTATTTAATACATATTTTGTATTCAAATTATTGTGTTTATATTTCATAACTGTAATTAAATTGATTATATTACATTTCATAATCTGTGGAACAAAAAATAATTCAAAATGCTACTGTTCAACAGTTGCTTATTTATTAGAGCTACCTACTCACAAAAATAATTTAAAAATTTATTACCAATAACACCTATATAATAGTAATGACTAATGAATAATAAAATAGCTTATATATTATGCTAAATTAATATCAAATGTCGATTGATTACATCGGGTTTTTTTTCTCTTTATTCATATTGTGTGTATGTATTTATTGATTTTTCCTTTTAGCCATGGTTTGTAGGAACGTGTTGCATTTAGTTCTACACAAAATGTAAACAATTAATAAAGTTTGTAGACTGAGAAGATATTTGTTGTTTAATTTAAACCGCCAGAACATGCACATATAAGGTCAATCGATAATTATCGGTCTTTTTTTATTATAATACAGTGGGTTCCGCTTAATGTGATCACTTTGGTGCAGGTCATTTTGATTCTATTAACCGGTTGATTCTATAAAACATTTACAACATTTTTTTCATGATTCAATATTTTTATACAATTACAAATGTATTTATAATTACATATTGAATGTATCATACATAATAAATGACACAAGTACACGACGCACAATGATAATTGAATAACATAATAACGTACAACGATGTACTGTCATACTTACTAATAAGTTCAAAAATAAAATGGGTTTTATAAGTTAATCAGTTTAAAATACCATAAAAACGTTAAGATTGTTCATAAAGGTGATTCAATAATCCAGTACTTAGTGATTCTAATAAAAGGTAAATTTAACATTAGTAACATACAATTTGGTTTGGGATTTTCATTTTTGATTCTAATAAACGGTTGATTCTATAAACCAGTGATCACATTAAACGGAACTCACTGTATAATTTATTTTGTTAAAAAAATACGTCAGCATAAACTTGTATTATACAATGTTAGTTCTGTACTTGAAATACATGAATAACCTTTATTTTATTTGTTACGTTCTTACTTTAAAAGCAATTTTTAAGCTATTGATAAACTTTTACCATTAACTTCACTACATTACTTTTGAAATCAATGATAACATCAACTTCTTTCTAATCATCATGTACAAGATTTTTTTTTTTTAGAATTTAACTACCTATATTGCATTCATATAAAACATAATTTATAATTATTAGGAAATGAAGTAATTTTATTTCACATAAAAAACATCCAGAACAAAATTCACAATTATTATCACTATGGCTTATTTGTATGAAAAAAATGTATAAATATATATTAGGCATATGTATTTACATTGAACAGTCCATAAAATAATGTTTTAACAATATGTACATAATATTAAAATGTATAATGTATTTAATAAATAATTATTTAATTTTTAATTTTCATATATTTAGAAGGACTTAGAAATTTTTTTTCGTGGAATTCTATCACCAATTCAGGGTAGCACCATCTCATTAATTGTTCATCCATTGGATGATTTTCCTTTCCGTTATTCGACCACTGCACAAAGTAGATTATTCTTTGAGCTTTGACAGCCATACCGGTTATTCTTTTTGCTTCTACAATTTTATCTGAAACACCGTGGCCATTCGTGCGTGTTTTCCTGAGAAGATTCCTGGAAACGAGTGAACGGTTAGCTGTACGATAGTTATAAAATAATATAGATACACAATTACGTAAAAATATGATAGTAACAGTTCCAAATGTGGGAGGGGGGGGGGTATGATGTGCGATACAAACTACAAAGCCATTGCGTGAGTATCACATTCATTTTTCTAATTTTCGGGGGGAGGCTCTCACAAAGTTATTAACTCGGAACACAGATTTCTATACAGTACTAGGATGGCGAACTCCCGCCATCAGTTGAACCCTAATACATAACATCAAGCCTGATTGTCTTAGTACATTTTGATTTGTCAGCCGACAAAATGGCGGCCAACTGCTACGCGAGCTTCACTGATAACAATATAAATAATACAGGAGTTCCTTATCTAGTGTAGTGTAGAAGTCCGTGGCTCGGAAATGCATGTAACGATTAAATACGGTGTCTGATCATAATAACCATGTGCATATAGTTACCTAAGTGCGGCGGCGCGGTTGTCCTTGTCGTCGTCTCCGCGGGACACGCTCCTTCCCGCGTAAGGATACCGGTCATACGGTCTGCGGCCTCCCCTGGCGGCTTCCGCTTCCTCCTCCTCGTCCGACGAATACATCACATGGAACCGCGGTCTGGTCGGAAGTGGATACTTCTTGCCGACGACGATGTCGTCGATGTCCGAAGTGTTGGAGGCACTTTCGAATCCCTCGTCGGGATCGTCCTGCTGCTGTTGTTCGTTCCCAATTATTCGTTCGATCCTTTCGTCTTCAGAGGAGTCGCCCATGGTGCCCGAGTGCTGCGTGTATAATGTTCTGTGATAATTCGTCTGTAGAGAGCTCTGATCGTCCGGCGGCGAAACGACGTGCCGACAGACCGAGACCAGTGACACGACTGCGCGGCTGTTGCGCAGCACGCGGCCCCCACACGCACGACTCTGCCGGACAACAAGTGGGTACGAAACGCTCCCGCGGCTCCTGCCTGAACTGCAGCACACCGGTCTTGTGTTTTCTACGACCATTACACTGTAACCGTAATATTGTTGATTATTATGTTTTTCCAACACTTGTGTACAGGGCTCGTGAGTTCATGCATTTGCATGTTTTTTTATTGCTACACAGAAAAATATGCTAACTGAGATACAAATCCGTTATAATCATAACAATAGTAATAATAATATGAAGTTTAATAGTCCATGTTTTTGCATGTTTTGGGTGTAAAAAGGCATATTTGGCTTATAATCGTTTTTTTAGAGTATATAGCTCATATTATTTCATAAAAATATTGTTTTGAAAAATATTTGAAATGTTTCTTGTTTCTTATTTACTTTCTCGTTTACTGAATGATAGTGTTTTGATTTATTTTTATTTTCGTATAACTACTTACTTTTCTAGTATTTCCCTATTTAGATTTTATGCGTTTTACTTAGTACCGCGGAAACAATTTTATAGCTACCACTACCATCCTCCGCCGTGTATAGTCCCTCGTCGAAACGAAACCTGTACAAGCATGTAGGTACACCTGTACAATGTTTCTTACCAATCCGCATCTACAATTCTGTACACTGGTACAGTATAATTTTCTTGCACACGCCAGTCGCCGAAGAGTTGTTTAACTGTACGAGTCGTGAAAATGTCAAATAACTAATATTTCATTCCAAATATTTTCATTGTAGGTGCAGGATAATGGTGTACAAAAATTAGGAAAAAAATGACTACCTAATTAAAATTAATAAAATTGACAAATCCATATGATTACATGAACTTCACGAGTATTCATTTTATTAATTTTGATTGTTAAATATGTAAAAATTAAAAGGAATAAAATACTTTTAAAATTAATGGATATATTCTTATTATTTTAAAATTTGCTCATAAATATTTTACATAATGCATATTTTGAGTGCATCATTTAAAAATGTAAGGGCATTTAAATGCATATTTTCGAACTTTTTAGTGCATATTTTAATGCATATTTTGCTAATTTTTAGTGCATCAACTTACGAGCCCTGCTTATGTATAATATCGGAGTACTACCGCCCCCGGTAACCTACTGCTGCTCTGCTAAACGATCGAATACAACATTGGTGTCCAACCTTTTGTGAAGACTGTGCCACATCATATACCTATGTAGAAGTTGTTGTGGCCCACATACTTTTTTTTAATAATAATAGATTCAAATTTAATGATTAAATTTATTATATTCTGTAATACAACAATACATTTTTTTACAATTTTACAATAGCGAATAATAAGCAGAAATATTTGTACAAGTATGAATATTTAATTATAAGTACCTACACAGAAAAATACATTTATTTGTAATAAAAAAAAAAGTTTTAGTTTAAAAAAGTTAAAAGTCATTAGTTTTATAAAATTTGAAATTTGAAATTGCTTTTTTTGTGTGAAATTAATGAATCAATATTTGGATCGATTGAAGTTGCGGCAATCCTTAAGCAACGGTAAGAACACGGACGTGTGCATCGGGCCTTCATCGGCCCACACACAGTGTCGCAACTACATAATAAGGGGTCCGTGTGCGATACTTTTTTTGGGCCACTTCCTAAATTAATTTTACTGTAAGTATTACAATCTATAAGTGCCAACGTTTTTAGGTTTTGTGTGTACCTACATATACATATATACATATATTTTTTTTTTGTTCATACGTTTTATTCAATCTGTTTCATAGGGAACAATAAGAATAAGTGATGGTATAGAATAAGCTAAAATTAATAAAAATAAAAAGGCAGACTAAACAAACTAAACAGATTTCAGAGGCCTCCCAGTGGAGGTACTAAGACATGGGTTAACACATATATATATATAAAACTAAATACCTATAAATATTGTGTACGTCGTCACTCGTCGACCGTCGCCGTTTTCCACTATCGGCCTGTTGTTCTTCTGACAATTCGACAGACAACTACCCATAGACGCGATAAAAATAGATCTTATGGAAAAATTGATAGTACTTAAAAAGTAAGAAACGTTGACACTTGAATACTTGATAGGTACCCTTTTTCTAAACCTACCATCCTATTTTAACAACCTTATTACTTAATCTAATAATATTAGTATACCTACAACTACCTTATTGTTTCAACTTCAAAAAAAAATGTATTGTGAATAATTAAGTTTTGCGTTTTAAGACAATTTTAGTGTTTGCTTCAGCCTGGGGTCCCCCAAATGTATATGTAAGCATTGAGGCCCGTGTGCGACACACACTCTGCACACCCGGTTTTTGAAGCCACACAAAGACACACACACACACACACATACACACATATCAATAAATTGTCTGCGAGTAAAATGTACCTATACATTCCAATAAAATATTATTATTATTATTTTAATCCCTAGTCTCCGAATTAAACGTGTGCAAGGGTGTGTGTGTTCACGGTCCGTGACCAATGTCCTTTGGTGCCCTTTATAATATCGTGGCCACGGACTCGTCTACAAGTAAAATATATTAAATCACAAACCAAAAAAAGTCCGTCGTCGGTGGGCCTGTCCGACGGTTCCTGCAGAGTATCTGCACGTCTCACGCTGTGCGTTTTGGATGTTTTGTGCGTCCCGAAGCAAAAGACAAAATACTACATATTTACATTATGTACCTTTATAGGTATATACGCATTGGCGTCCCAGAATCAAAAACCATTAGTCTTATAAAATGTCGCCGGAAAATACGTGACCGAAATAATCGTATATTATATCGTTTCTCTACCCCTAGCGGTTCTCAAACACTCTTTGTTCGCGGAGTCCTTATGTGCCTAAAAAAAATTACGGAGCCCCGAAAATCAGAAACGTCTATATATGAGACAATAATAGAGTCTACTCCAACATATAATTATTATTGTGTGTTACTTATGTTGAATATACTCAAAGAAGGCCATTTGACAAGGGTATATCGAAATATTCTCCACGAACTTACGTATTAGATGTACTTACATACATTGTGTAAATAGAACCACGGGCATAGAGTGTTTGGAAAATCCACGAAAAATAAGAGGATTTTGTTTGAAAGCCAATTAGCTTGCCAAACCCTCAGGAGGAATATTTTGGAACTATACAGGCGATGTATTAACATTTTATGCAAGAAGCACTCCAGAAGTATATATTATATTTATTAATAATGATTAGGATACTCACCGGAGAAGAACTAACCGTATTTAAATGATGGTCCTGTGCAAATACCATCTCCCGGAAAATAATGTGCGAATTTACAGTCGCCATATAGTTTTTCAATTTAAAAAATTGCAAAGAAGTATAAATGTAGATATCGCAATATTTAATTGTTAATATTTGACCTCAATTTATTATATATATATTAATTTTTTAATGAAAAAGTATACCTATACTACAAGTAAGTACGGTGGCGCCGCACCTTAAACCACTGGGGTAAACTCTGTTTGAGGGTACCTAACAGCAAATAACCTACACACCAAAGCCAGATTAAGGGGCGATCAAGCCTCCAGGCACGGTCCCGGGCGAAACTTTTTTTAAAAGTTCTGGGATACTTACACCAGTTGCCATACGTGTTGGGCGCCACTGAGTAGGTAAATATTCGTAATCAAATATTAATAATGTGGTAAATACGCTAATCACAGCTCAAAAAATACTTGTTCAATCATTTTCACGTGGTTGTGAGTCACATAAATTATTGTAATCTGGATATTTTTTCTTTGTGGTCTTCTTTTAAGTCTGGGATATGTATTCCACAATTCGTATTACTATTCACTGATACGAATACCGTCAGCATGCAAATCGTTGGTACGATCGATTTTTATAATATTTTTTTAAAACAGTTATTTTTTGTGGAGCTTGTTGTGCAATCTTTGGCCACCGCCTATATGTTATTATCATGTGTTCTGATAGTTCTCGTATAATATACAGGCAGACAGTGTAATTATTATTATTTTTTTTTTTTGTCCAGTCAGGTATATTTGTAAATATTAACACACTTTATAGGAAATACCACTGGGAAAACAACAGTTATTATCAAATGCCATAATATTATTATAATTATTACTTATTACGTGGACTTAATAATTGCAGTTATACTACATTTACTCACATGGCGACTGTGAGTAGTAACCTTATATATTTGTCGCAAACGTTAAAAAGGAAAAATTAATTTAATGCCTGGCCGTGAACTTAACTTAAAAAAAGAAATAATAACTCATAATTTTAGCTACAAAATATTGCTGAGTATAGTAATAATATAAAAAAAAATTACTTACAATAACTATTGTTGAGATCATCATGATTAACCTTGATGAATATTCCATTTCAAATTTCTACCAATTTACAAAAGTTGTTTAAAGTGAGTAAGACTGGCGAAGTTTCCATGTACCTACCCATTTCAGGTAAGAAAATGCGGAGTTTAGATTAGATCTATTTTCTTTGCCTTTTTATCCAACCGGTATTTTTGGGAAGCTTACAATCGCCCATTTGATATTCGGATCATCCGAGTTAGTAAGTATACTTTGTTATTAAAAATAGAAATATTTAGAAATTTTAAAATATAGGAACAATACCAAGAATATAAAAGTCGTTCACATTATTATTTATTACTGAAACAAAAGTGATTTTTAAAACAATGTTTTATTCTTATATTATGACATTCTAATTTGAATTAATCATGTTAACCTTTAATTGTACGTAGTTTTTAGATTTGAATTTCACTATAATTGTTTAATATTTTATCTGGGAGGAATTTTTCCCGCTTGGGGAATACATCGGCGGGAGGGGGAACGTCTAAAATCGGTTTGACCATTATAATACCACTGTAGTTAAAGGTAAACATGGGACGTTGGTATGATCGGTCAATCAGTTTGGCGCCAGCTGTACTTATAATATACGTGTGTGTGTGTGCGCG